AACATTAAAGGTAACATATTCATCTTGATTGGCAAATGAGCAGAGAAAGTTGGACTCCAAAAAAATTCACAGAAAACGAGCATGAATTTTAGCAATTCCAGTTAGAATCTAGAATTTTTAAATGTAAAACATCTCTTAGAATCTATGAGCCCAGGAGAAGACCAAACATATCACTTTGCTCAGATGCCTGAGCAGAGGCCGAGGCAAACTGGACAGTGCTGATTAAACTACTGTGTAAAGTAGAGACCTGCTCAGACTGATAACCATAACCAAATACAACAGTCTCCAAACTACTCCTGCACTCATAAAACTGAATGAAATACTTATCTTCTGAAATATAATTCTCATTTAAATATTTCTTCAATTTTTGACTCTAAAGTATGTCAGAGCATTTAGATAATACCATTAAAAAAAAAAAAGGCTTATTTTGTGTTTGTGTTTGTGGGTGGTTTTTTTGTTTGGTTTTTTGTTTGATTGTTTTCAGTTAACTGTATTCACTTTAACTCATCATAATGAAAATGTATTTATTATTCTAGCTTGCAATTGCAATTCTCTAATCAAGAAACAGAACTCTTTCCTTTTACTATTTTTACAAAATTAAATGTATGTTTAATTGTTTTTTTCCGGTAACCTCTCAGCACTCATTTATATAGCATAGCATGCAATTTTATACATTGTACATGCTTTTATACTTCCATTGTATCTGCTGTGTCTGCTGTGTAACCATTATCTGAGTTTTTTGATTTTTTTTTTTTAAACAGGGGCTCTCTGTGATCAGAGGCAATAAGCATTCTTGGGAAACCATAGAAGTACAAGGAAAAGGTCAGAGGTCCAAGTGTTAAGTTAAGCCACCAGGGTTTAAGATTTTCTCATCCTGCCCTGACATCTATCCCAGTGAGTACAAGTTAGTACAAGTTAACCCTGATGCTTACTTCTACTAATAATAATAATAAATGATCAGAGACTGGAGACTTTATGTCAATCTCAAGGGACTGGGAGAAAAGTGTGAAACTGAATTTTAAGTCAGCAACTACCAGAGTGACAGCCAGAGTACTCTCATAGCAAACTTTACAGTGAACTTCTCTTGATTACAATGACTGAAAACTCAAGGAACGCATCTGTTTTGATGTATCAAGAATCTCTACCCCAAGAGTTTCTTGTGGACTTCCACGATGCTAAAAAAATGTGGTAAGAGCACTTAACATGAAATCTTACCTCTCGGCTGGGCTTGGTGGCTCAGCCTGTAATCCAGCGCTTTGGGAGGCTGAGGTGAGTGAATTGCCTGAGCCCGCGGGTTCGAGACCCACCTGGGCAACTTGGCGAGACCTCATCTCTACCATAAATCAAAAAAATTAGCCGGGCATGGTAGCGCGGCCTGTAGTTCCAGCTACTTGGATGGCTGAGGTGGAAGGATCACTGGAACCCAGCGGGTCAGGCTACAGTGGCCGGGAGCGGCCACTGCACTCCAGTCTGGGTGATAGAGTGAGACGCCACCTGCAAAAAAAGAAATCTTACTTCTCATTTTTATCACATGTTTTTATGTGCAACATTGTATTTTTGACTTTTATATAGTATTATGTAAAGGCACAATGTTAGACAGCACAACTCTAGAAAACTTAATCATCTTGCAGAACTAAAACGATTTATGCCCATTGCATAGCCCCTATCTTCCTTTTTGCCTAACGCTGACAACCACCATGCTATTCTCTGCTTCTATGATTACAACTATTTTATAAACTTTACATAAGTGATATCATGCAGTATTTGTCCTTCTGATACTGGTTTATTTCACTTAGTGTAATTTCTTTTTTTTTTTTTTTGAGTTGGAGTCTCACTCCGTCGCCCAGACGGGAGTGCAGTGGCCGCTCCCGGCCACCGCAGCCTCGATCTGCTGGGCTCCGGCGATCCTTCCGCCTCAGCCTTCCAAGTAGCTGGAACTACAGTCATGCACTACCTCGCCCGGCTGATTTTTTTGATGTATTGTAGAGATGAGGTCTCGTCTGCCCAGGCGGGTCTCGAACCCGCGGGCTCAGGCAATCCACTCACTTCAGCCTCCCAAAGGCGCGGGATTACAGGCTGAGCCACTGAGCCCGGCTAGTGTAATTTCTTTAGGGTTAACTCATGTTGTAGTTGGCAGGATTTTCTTCTTTTTTTTAAGGCTGAATCACATTCCGTTGTATGTATATGCTACATTTACTGCATTCATTCATCTGTCAATAGACATTTTTACTGTTTCCATATCTTGGCTATTGTTAATATCACTGCAATGAACACAGGAGTGTAAATTTCTCTCCATGATCTTGATTTTAATTCTTTTGGATAGATATGAAGAAGTGGGATGGCTAAAGTATACGGTAATCCTCTTTTTAGTTTTTAGGAACCTCCATACTGTTCTCCGCAGTGGCTGTACCACTTTACATTCCTGTCAACAGTGTACAAGGGGTCCAATTTCTCCACATCACCAGCAGCACTTTTATCATTTAAAAAAATTAAAAAGCTATTCTAACAGGTCTGAAGTGACATGTTAACATGGTTTTTATTTACATCCCTTGATAATTAATGCTTTGGCACCCATTCGTATGCCTGTTGGCCCATTGTATGTTTTTTTTGGAGAAATATCTATTCAAGTCCTTTACTCAGATTCTAATTTATTTTTGCTGTGATTTGAAAAAGTTCCTAGCCGGGCTCCGTGGCTCAGCCTGTAATCCCGCGCCTTTGGGAGGCTGAGGTGAGTGGATTGCCTGAGCCTGCGGGTTCGAGAACCGCCTGGGCAGGCGAGACCTCATCTCTAATGAATAAAAACAAAAAAATTAGCCGGGCATGGTAGTTCCAGTACTTGGAAGGCTGAGGCGGAAGGATGGCCGGAGCCCAGCAGGTCGAGGCTGCAGTGACCGGGAGCGGCCACTGCACTCCAGTCTGGGCGACAGAGTGAGACTCCAACTCAAAAAAAAAAAAGAAAAAATTCCTTATATATTTTGAATTTTAACCCCTTATCAGATATATTAATTTTTTTCATTCCTTAAGTGAGCTTTTATTTTTGTGTATTATTTTCCTTACTGTACAGAAGCTTTTAGTTTAATGTAGCTCCACTTTTCTATTTTTGCTTTTGTTGCCTGTGTTTTCTATGTTACACGTCACAAACTCATTGCCAATATCAATATCATGAAGATTTTCTTGTATGTTCTCTTTCAGGAGTTTTACAGTTTTAGGTTTAATGTTAATTCTTTAATTCCTTTTTAACTGATTTTTTTTTTTTGCATGATGTAACATAAGGGTTCAGTTTTATTATTTTGCATGTGAATAGGCAATTTTCCCAACATCATGTGTTACAAAGACACTTATTTTATTTAATGATGATCAGTTCTACTGATTGAGTCATACCATTTATTTGGTCCCAAAACTATTCCATTTTTGGCTGTTAGCATTCTTGGTGAGAAGACCTGGAAGAGGTGGACAAAAAGGGAAAATTGGGGGGACTAAGAGAAGATAAACAACAACAATAATTTAAAAAAAAATAGAGGACCAGAGTGGTATGATGGTCACATATGACTTGGAACTGATTCATGGTTTAAATACTTTCAAACTAAATAACCATAGAATGAGGTATTGCCTTTCAGAGACTTTCACGTAAAAATGAAGATGTTAACACTTGCTATATGGGATCTACTAAAAATTACAAATCGATATAAATTTATCATGTCAATATGTAAATTAATGTATGGCAGATACTAAGTAGATGTTGGTGTTTATCTCTTAGATAAAGATAAAATAATGTCCTCTCCCCATCCTAACTCTAGTCAAAAGTTCCTCAGAGCATATGACATAGTGTTTTTTTCTATACTTGTGTTCTTTCCTTTAGTACTAAATTTGATTTGAATATAATAAAACTATATGGAAAAAAAATTAATCCAGACTTTCAAGAAGAGAATGTAAAAGACTTTCAGTTTCTCTGGGTAAGATGATCCAAAGACAGAGGAAACCACAAATGGTAATCAACATCTCCTCTGATAGCTCATGAAAAGTAGCTTATCCAAATTGAATTTGGATTTATATTGGAATGAAGTTTGACATGGATAGCCCCATTGTCTTGTGGGAAGGTCTAAAACCATCCAACTATATTCTTTTTCCTTTTTTGCCTCACTTTTGTAAAATAGCTTTAAAATACTATACAGTTGAAGGTAATTTCTACCTCATTCTGTTCTCCAGTAAATTTAATACATAAATAGGAAAGTATATGTTTCATATATTAGAAATCAGTTCCATTTAAAAATGTTTTGTTACATCACTAAATAGTCTTTCAAATGAGGTATCCTAATTTTTATTTCATGAAATGCAAATAAACACATATTTTACTTCTTTTGTTCCTTCCAGTTAAGTGATAAAGAGCACAACTAAATTAAATTCTTAAGAAACAAACCTATCAGGCTAGGAATAAAATCTCATTTTGGGAAAGATTCTACAGCAAAAGTCAAAATAATTTGTTGGCTTAAATGCTGTTAAAAATTTGCAGTTACGTTTGATGAAGTCATTGAGTTATATTTTCTAGAGATAGATTGAAACAAGAAGATAATTATGCCCTGAGTTCCTGAAGCTGTACAAAGAATAAGAAGACTAAACAACTCAGAACTCCTCCTAATTTATGATTCTCAGAAATTATAAAATCTAAAACAAATGAAACAAAACACAGTCTTAACAAAACTTCTTTATTCTATATCTATAACTGTGCTTTTTTCCTAATTTTCACCAAAAACCTAGTTTTCATTTGTTTTGAAGTCTTATGAAGTAACTTTGAAAGCCATATGCCCCCCAGATGCTGAGTCACCCAACATCTGTGAAAGTTAACTGCTGTCTCAGCTGAATATGTCTTCTGAAGATAATGTTGATTGTCTATGACTGGCAGGATTCAAGGCCTTTTTTTTTTTTTTTGGTCTTTGCCACTTACTTAAAGTTTCTGTTATTCCTAATTCAATTAGACTAGACAGTTCCATGTGAATTCTCTCTCTCTTTCTCTTGCATACATTTTATCTTGCTAAATTCTAGCCCTTTAGGAAAAATGGAGAACTTTCCAAAGGAAACCGTGAGTACATAACTCTCTTCCATGCAATTTGTCACTAAAATTACTAGGAAAGCTGTCTCCTTTAAACTTTTTATATAATCTTTCACATGGTCATTAATAGTTTTTTTGACTTTTAAGAAGTAGAGAATTTTAACTCTTTTTTGTGTTATGTCTCTCTTTAAACAACAACCTTGAGCTTATATCTATATAGCACTAAAGCCCAGCAATGCCTTGTCGGTTCCCATAGAGAAAAACTGGGTAACCTGGAGAAAAATA